ATTCTTAGGCGCGGCACGGTGCGGATTAGCCGTAAGCGGCCGATAAATACGAGCACACGTAACGAATCGGGGTGCACGCAATCAAAGGGACGAGGGAGAGCGGTGCACGGTAGCCCTGCAGCGGGCAGAAACTGCTGCCAATAAATCTACGTGGGCGAGATTGCCTCTAAGATTAAGAGTACGCGACTCGAGAGCATATAAAAGCTGGCCACGGCTTGAGGGTGGGAGGGAGGGAGGGAGGGAGGAAGGAAGGGGGTTGTCCCCTGCCGAAAAAAATTTTCGCTCGCACGAAAGGGAACCAGCCTCGCTCTCGTTTGCATCCTTCCGCAGGGCTCTGGCACTTTAACCGGCGTGAAGCTGCTTGTTTCTCCTCTCGCTCTTTTTTTGGTCAAAGGAACATGCGACATCGTGGTCCTCTAAAAAGGAGCACGATGCCACGGATTCCCTGATTAGATGAGCTGCTCAATTAAAGGGGAGACTCTTTGGATACTTCTGCAATGATATATCGTCGTTTCTCCGTACGCGTATAGCTATACGAATAGTTGTCATTGAAAGTAACTCTACTTCGGACACTTTCAAAGATAAAAGTGTTTAGGACTCGTGTTAGAATTCACTCGGCTCTATCCATTAAACTTTTCCATTAATGTATTGAGACGTTAGAAGCGAAGAAGCAGCACTCAATACTATCGGTAGAATTTCTAATTTTCAAGAATGCTTCGGAACAAACTGCCGTCTTCGAAGGTAGCCATAGTCCAAGGTGCGAAAGGACGACGGTAAGTTCCCGAAATCGATGGAGGAATTTTAGCGAGAAGAACGCTCGAAAGAGAAGCACGAGGAAGAGAAGCAAAAAGAAGAAGTCTCGTTACGTATCCCGGGTCCAGGAGTATACGCAACGGAAGATAAGATCGGCCCAATACGAATATACGTAGCCGCGGGCGCGTAACGCGAATTAAAAGGATGACTCAGGAGGCAGAAGGACGGGCTCGGTGGTTTTCGAAACGTAAGGATATCCTAACGAGCCGATTAAACGAGCAGGCTCCGTCCACTCGATAAATGCCACTTGCTGCGAGGGGATGAAGTTGTCCCGCGGTTTCGCGTCCGGTTCGGCAAACGACAGGGACTCGGCAACGCGTTCCTCCTTCAACGTCGATACATACATTTTCTGTTCGGCATGCAGCGTTACGTTCTAATTGGCGGTCTGCGATCATTTCGAACGGCATCGCGTGATTAGCGTGGCGGGTTGCACTTAAATCGACGGCTCACGCAGCGATTCCGATTTCCTACGATGCCGTTGTTGCTGCCAGCTCGACGCTTCCTCTCCTCGTGTTAGCGTGCCTCTTTCCGCTTGTCGGCACTCCGCTGCGTGCGTACAGACCCTCGTACAGTTCCTCTTTTTTATTTTCCACGACCCGTTGTGCTGCATTGTCGATCGACGATTTGTAAAAATCCGAGAGGCGATCTTCGATGGAAATGCATCGCCTCCGGCGCGATTCTCTTTTGCTCGTTACGGTTTATGATCGTTGCAACAGGCAACTGTCATCTCTGACATGATGATATTGCTTTTTCAAACGGAATTATGTTGCTCGAATTATAGTTTTGGGAACAAGAAAAGAGAACCTATATTTCATAAGTTTTGGTTTTTGATGCTTAACAATCGGATAGCGAGCCATGGAGAGAACCACAATTTCATTCATTTTCATATGAAACTCTTTCTTTTAAAAATTATATCATTTAACATTAAACATTAGATTGATGTCCTTATATATATATTGTATGTTTGGGTCATAATTGACCCACCCTCTGCTGTTTAAGGGTTAAAATGTCTACAGATGGAGCTTCTTTTTGGGGCATAAATTTCGTATAATAATAAATCACACGAACGTGTATTTCATACAGTTCGAACAGATAATCGTTCGGAACCTGGAATTCGTGTTGGCATTTCGAAATAACCGAGTTGCAGGACTTTCTTATCTTTATGTTCGATGCTCCAGGTGATCATGCGAGCTTACGAACAACTGCAACAGTAATTTTAAAACAGAAATTTCTTGTTACTCGTCAAACGTGAATCGAGATGGTTAAACGAAGTAGATGGATCCCAAAGTGAGTCGGAATCGTGCGGACGCGTCGTCACGAGATTCGAAATAAGTCTGAAGAGTTCGAATTAAGTTCTTCTCGTCGTTTCTGCGTTCCGTTCCATCGTTTCCACCTCCTTGGCTGCTTGTTCCTGGTCGACCAGTTTGTAGCCACGGCTTCGAGACTCGGAGGTGCGATCTCGTAATTATTACGTCGCGGAAGATGCGAAGTGACGCGATGATTACCCCATCGTGAGACCGCCTTAAACAGCCCCCCATCTCGCGCTACTTTCCTCTCTTTCTCTTTGCCATGTTGATTCTTTTTTTTCCACGGGGGTAATTGCATCGATTTCGGCAAGACAATGGCGTCTCTCGGTGCCGAGCCTTCCTTCGATGATTTATCGTTTTAATAGCGGTATCAAAAGCCGTCTCACGGTTCATTATCGGTCATCGATCAACCGAGCCCGAAGGATCGTTCCTCGAATCACGGTAAACAAATTTCAATTTCGTTTCCACCTATTGTCAGTGGCGTGTTACCGCGATTTAACGAGTAAACATCGCTGTGAGAAAACGAACCGACCATTCCCCGCGCTAATTGTCAGCGGTGAAAGAAACGACGACACGCCGGGAGGCTCAAGGCGCCACGCCGGAACGTCGAGAGGATGGGGCGCGTCGAGAAAGCGAGGCGTCCACCTCCTCGTTGCACGGTACGATGCACACCGGGGCCGCCATTTTCGTGGCGGCGCAACAGAGGCGTAATAACTGCTGGAATTCATGGTAATGGCGATAATGCGTGCCTGGAACGATGAGGCCCGCAGGGGCTGAAACAAGGAGGGAGGGCGGCTGCGAAGAGGAACAGGCCCGGAACAGAGGTGGGGCACCCTGCCACGCTACGGAAACTTATGCCTGCCATCGTTCGGGCATGTGTGAACATGGCATACTCTAGGGGAGAACCGGCTGTTTCTGATTGGACGAATTCCTTCGACCGGATGTACAGCACGGCCTCCGTTCGTCGTGACCCGTTTGCCATTTCTTTCGATCGAGTAAACATAACGGAAGAATCTTTCCGCTTTTTCTATCGATATAATTTTGCTTGGTCTACAACAGTGTTTTACCAAAGAAAGCAATATCGCCTCCTTGGGGGCGGTTGCCTCAGGTGCAATTAGGGGCGTAAATTTGAAAAATTTGCATCTTTCGAATGGGTGGAAGTGGAACGTGATTCTGGCATGATTATATAGGGAAAAGAGTGATGAAAATATTTCACTTTGAAAAAGGGGCAAAGTTTCCACTAGTACTATGTATTTGGAATTCAAAAGATATGAGTCAATTATGGAAAACTATGACCATTCTCTTTGGTCCATTGAGTATTATTTTTTTAAAATAAATTATAAACAATAAATCTTAATTCTAGGTGTATTCTTATTATAGACAAATACTGTTCAGTTATAAAAAGTAAAATAGATATACAATATTAAAAAGATTTTGTAAGTTACCAATAAGAAGAAAGGTAAATTTTTTCATTGAAAAATGGTGGGGAAAAACGTTCGTTTACTTTACCACCTTAACGTGCTCAATAACTTTTTATCTGAAAAAGGGGGTGGACTAAATAAGTTTAGAAACTTTTGCTCTACATTTATATCCAGCTTACTATCCAGGTCTACTAACCTAGACTCCATCGATAGTTTATTAATTCTAGTAATACCTAGAAATCTATCGAAGGAATTAAAGTATAAGATCGTCGATGGTAGAAGCACAGGAGTGGTCGAATCGGAGCTCCGATTGGTTGCCGTCTCAACCGGATGTGGAGGTTGGGCTAAAGGCGAGAGCGGACTCTTGAATTATCCGTCTTAATTTGTCCGTTACGAGAATTAGCACGAACGTGGGATGGGGAGAAGTTCGAGAGAGAGTGAGTAGGATACAAGTTTCACGGGCACGAAGCACGGCTTGGCCTCCCATGGTGTGCCCAACTGTCGACCTTCGACCTCGAGGACCCTGTACGCTGAAAGAGATACACCTTGCCATACTCTAATGTTTTCCTTTTCCTCATTCGATTATGACATCGTCAACAGCTTCGACGTTAATGTTACCGAGTTGTCGCATGCAAATGTCTATTATGCTATCTTTTTTCGTTTCAAAAACGTGCAAACACCTTGAAGATTGATCGATCGATTGGCCAGCCTCGTACAGCCAACATATCGTCGTTTAATATTTGCTTTAAGGACACGTACGAGATACCCCAACGTTCTATTAACCGTCATTAAATCCTAATGGGCCAGGGCTTCGGGATGCTCACCTCGTTTGCCCCTAATAGCTGCTTGTTTTGTAATCCAGTTGCCTAACCACCGACTTCTTCGTTGTAATGAAATAGCCAACCCTTTTTCGTGTGTGAGAAAAAAAGAAACAAACCTCGCGATGAAACACTCTGTGTCTGATAATAATCATCTTCTCCGTTGTTACGCGTCGTTGGATTGAAACTATGCGCAAACTGGTTCGACGAAAACTTTAAAAAGAAAAAGCACGAAACGAAAAATCGTCGAGTCACGAGGGCTGCCGGATACAAAGTTCCTTCGAAGTATCCAGTGGACTAGGAGGAGCAAACATTTCAACGAACAAACACGTCACAAATACGTTCGAGTATGTACAGAAGGAATAACGCGGTGGTCCCTTACCCATCAACGATGGTTATTCTTTCTCAACCCTTTTCAACGGAGGTCTAGCCGAAATGCTGACAGGAAGAACGAATCATGCAGTGGACGCTCCTAAGATACGTCACCGAGAAAGAATAACATTCTCGTACAAAGGCTTTTAATTCGAAGGACGGAAAAACCTTCGGAATGTCTGTTTGTTCAAGTTGATTAGAAGTTAAAGTAACGATGGTCGCGTGAATTTCGAGAATCTAATTGGGAATCAAGTTGAATCAGCGCTTACCGAGGGTGCCGTCCAGAGAGAAGGAATGCCTGTCGTTCCTCCACGCCCAGGAGCACAAATCACAGGTGGTGAGTCCGTCAGTGGTAACAGCCTCCTCAGGTAAATAAGGTGGTCTAGGCGGTGGTGGTACAAAGCTTCCGATCACAGCCCAAAGAGAATCGACGTCGTTGCCGACGCCCGTGTAGTACAACAGCTCTTCCTCGGCCACACCAGCGAACCAGTCCATGTCGTTCACACTCGGATGAACCGTGTTTGTGCTTGGCGTGTTGCTGCTGGCTACCGTCACCTGCAACGTTACCGAATGATTATTACAAAGTAGGCGTATAGTAGAGGCAGAAGTGTCTTTCGTTTTCCTGGGCGCCTTAACCCTTTGACTGCTATGGACGCATATATGCGTCAAGTGAAAGTTGTTGGCGTCGCATATATGCGCCTATAATTTGTTTCTTGTATAGTTTAATGATAATTTCCAGAGAGACAAAGTTGTACAAGATTTACACGAACTGCGATTTCGGCCCTTTCCAATTCCGCTCGTGTTTCACCGACGTAAATAACAGGGGAAGTCGAATGGAAAACCGACTCGACTTCGTTTCCGCTTTCTGAAGAAGACTAGACGATCGTCCCCTAACTCCTACGACAAACAGAGTGGAAACGGTGCGGGCGGCCGCAAACAAATCTTCTTTTTCCCTCTTCCTTTCGAGGTCCTACCACTGGAAGAATTTGAATAAACAAAGTGACAAAGCGTTCTTTGCTGTTCATCCGTCTGGTTTGAATCATGGAAACCCTAAGGATATCGCGTAATAATAAGAAGTAAATTCGCGCCGATAAGGGTGAATCATCGTATTGGCAGATGATTACAAAGTATAAATCCTAATCGATTATTGGAACGATCAGTGTCGTAACCAGGCGGCGTGCGCGACTTCGAGAACCTCCCAGCGAGTACGCTTTAGGGAGGAGTGATTTGAAGCGCTTTTCTGGTGCGGATGCTTGCTCAAACTCTGATTACATCGATAAACGAGCACGCGGCATGAGACCGTGTCTGCCTGCAGCTACGAATTTCACACACGATTTCCCTCGAATCGAATAAACGCTAGGAAAGAAACACGTTCTACCATTAACCGAAGAAGATTCGAAAGGAGAATATTATGTCTTGAATCATACGCCGAGACTGACGCGAATTCATCACATAAAATTACTGATAAATAGCACTTGTGGTATATCAATTTAAAGCTTAAACTTCGACGAAGACGACTGCATAAACCTTTCGTCGATATTCCTAATACGAAATGAATGATTTGATATCGAATTGAGAAAATAACGAGAGAGCGAGAGATGTTCTTGCACAAGCCGGTTCCATGAAAGTTGTAAAAGGTATTTCAATTAATCGAGCTGATTTTTGTGCCTTCTTTCATGCAATTTCCCCGTAAAAAAAGGAAGGTAGATCGGAGCGTAGTTACGGTGTGTACCGATGTCCTACGGGACGGGGTGCTTTTGTGTCGAACGAAGGGGGTCCATCACCGTGATTATGGACAGGCCTTAGCGTCGATGGGGCCCCGTAGTCGCTGTACAATGGCACGCATTGATCGGCTTAATTACCGTGATATCGGCGTAATTAAAGCCCCGTTGTGTCAAGACCCTTCTCTCGAAGGCGTCGACGAAACTCATGATTGAACTCCCGGCGTCGGAATCCTTCCTTTCCTTTCTTTTTTCCTTTCTTTCACCCTCCCTGACTCAAGACCGCTCTGTCACTTCCTTCGCACGCCTTGGCAACGCTTTGTTAATAAACCATTATTCGCGGCTCTGACGCGTCTTCGACGAATTCAACGCGTATTCCACGCTCGAGGTGCTTTCAATCGCAGCTCCTCCGAAAAACGCGTTTCTCGGTCAGGTGGGATCAGAAAAATTCGACGAGAATTTTCGTCCACGCTTCTTCTTCAGGGACCACGATTATTTCGTGTGGCGATGCTTGTAATTTCAGCATGTTTCTTTCTTAAGCGGTTACATACCTTTGATAAAGCAAAATAAATGATTTTTCAAAAATTTGGATATTCTGTTAGTATGATTTTTCTAGAATACTTTCTCAACTTTTATTTATTAGTAGAACTACCACTACTCAATGTATATTAGGTTTTACATTAAAAATAAAATGAAAAAAATAAATAGATAAAGAGAGAAACATGAACTAGTTTGTAGTGTAATTCTTTTACTGTAATTCAAAAGAAGTGAATGTATATGTCAACAGAAACATTTTAATAAATTTTATGATTTAAAATTCTTATTTGAAACAAATTCTTTATCTTGAAACAAATTATTTTAACCCTTTTGGTAGTTGAAACTATCGGATTTATAACTTTAAAAGTTGGAGCGTGTCGCATCTACTAGGAAAACAACTGAAACTTTAAAAGCGTTTTACTCAAAATGCAGTTTTCAAAAGCGATAACATTAAATTTAATTTACACCCTATATAGAGGAATCAAATAGTCGAGCATCGACGTCCATCGGTTCTTACACGAAATCGGGACTCGATCAATTTTGACAAATTTTTCGTGTTTTCGTGTCCTTTTTCTAAGGTGTGCACCTTATTCTACGGTCGACGAATATTCCAAAAAATTTCAATTGCTATGAAGAATTAATCGTAGAAGGGATTTAATTGAATTAAACGGGGAAGATAGTTGCAGTCCAGAAACCTAACCAAATTTTGCCAAGATTCTTTGGAACCTCAAGAATTTATAGAAAACTTCGATCGGTGAGTGAAATTTCTTTTAGACAATTTAAAAAACAATATCGCCATAATTCGATTGAATTAACACGTCGAAAAAGATACAGAAGTATATGATTTGCGATTTTCTTCTATCACCTTAACGAGCTGCTCGAACGCGTAAAAGCGTACGCTCTCAGTTTCTCCACCCCGCTCGTTATGTTCGAATGGAACGTATCGTTATAATTACGAGGCGTTGGCGTTTACGATCGCAGCGATGACGTTTTACACTTGTTAATCCCAGCATTCCATTCCCCGGTTAACTTGAATGGCAAGATTCTCCTCTCGTTAACAGATTCTTTGTTTCCGCGTTGCTCTATTGCGAACACGAAGGTGCCCGAACAAATTTCGTTGAGACAAAAGCGAATAGGAAAGATTCCGTTGATAAAATCGGACCGAACCTTTCCCACCGTCTACACGAAACGCGTTCGCCCTTTCCGAAAATCGTTCCCACCCTCTGGACGGAGCCTCGGATTCCTCTCTCGCTTCGAATCCATCTTAGAGAATTACACGCTGGAATTCGCGCCCTCTTTCCATCGGTTGCGTTGCTCCCTGTGTTTCGTCGGCTGCCGCTCTGTCCATTTGCAATTCTGACACACTTCGCGGCGTGGCTATAGAGAAGCGATCGTCTCTGTATCAACCGGCCGAGAGGACGATCCGAGAGGAATCTGTCCGCAGGTTGAAGGAGGAAGGTGCCGCGAGTGTCGGTACAGTTTGGAATACCAAACGATTCCCGGAAACCGCTTCTGTCTTTCACCCCGTTCCCTTCTGCTCTTCAAGTTCGTCTTTCCGTTCGTTCGTGTCGTTCGAGGAGAAGAAGAAGAAGAAGAAGCCCTTCTGCTCCGTGTATCGGCCGAGTTTTCGGCCGCGCGATGTACACGGTCACGAGGGGATGGGGTCTGTGGACCGTGGGGTCCAGCTTTAAGGGGTCGTTAAGAATGGGTTCGAGGGCCAGGGCCGTATATAACGGATAATTGACAGCCGTTCCGAGGCCGCCGTTTACTTTGCATGGACATTGAATCCGCGCGGCAACGCGGGACGAATGAACGAGCGGACGGACGGACGGACGGATGGACGAAGCGAGACGAGACGAGAGAAGCATCGACGTGGGGACCAACGAAATTTCGGCCTGATACTCGAGGGAGACCGAACCGAGATACCGAGCAGGATGCGGTTAAGGGAGGCGCGGTGAAAAGGCAAATGCACGGCTCACCAACGCTCTCGTAAATTCTTCAATTCCGATGCTCGGAAAGGACAGAAACGCGACCGTGACATGTTACCCGCCTTCTCCTCCCTGCGAGTACCGATTCGGTTTAATTGCCCGGAGCTGGAAAAACGTGCCGTCTCGTTTTATTCTCCGTCCGACCCGGCCCATCTTGTCGCGTCGTGTCTTGTGCCGGCATTGAAGTCACTGAGCGAAGCGCGCTTTCTGACGCCGCGAGTGCAATTTCGTTCGCTCTACACCCTGTTTTATATTTTAGAGGACATTATTGTTACTATTACTATTGATATAGTAACATGATAAGCTGTGTTGCACCCTTAAATTAAAGAAAGACATGCCACGTGCAATAGCTCGCTGGTAACCGTGAAATTCGTCGGCGGAGGAAAAAGCGATCGGCTGAAACATGCACCGTGCACAGAAGACTTCATCAACTCTCTTAATGCGAAGGAGTTGCGTGGCGCTACGTACATCAGGACACGCGTGGGGTCTTGCCTCGTGAACAGCGGGGGATCGTAATTTGCGATGTAATTCGACGGAGAGAGCGCGCTTTCACGGGCATCGCAACTGCTCTACTTGTCGTGTCTCTTAACCGTACATCGATATTAACTCCTGCGACTATGTAACGGGTCCTTAGGTTTCATTTTTTTTTCTACACCGTCTAAATCTCTATAGAGCCATTTGTTATTTCGAGTATACACGAACTTCGCTGACGGTCCGCGCTCGAAAGAAGGTGAAAGTGAATAAATGCGACTCTGCGGGACATCGACGCTTGGCTCGCATTTTAAACGAAGGAAACAAAGATAAAAGGAGAGGGAAATAAATGAGTAAGAACGAAAAGGGACACGTGATCCAGTGGAATATGCATTTCACCGAGTGGGCACGACGATATGTTAGCAAGATTGGTATCGGTCGGCAGCGATGGGAACGATTCCGCGAAACGAGGTTCGTTGGGAGTCGAGTAAAGTGACTTGTCAAAAGATTCTCGGACGTTCTCGTAGAGTCAGGTAATCGATCGCGTGGCTTCGGGCAAGGATTTTTCGGTCCCTGTACCTGTGGTTTCTTCTTTCCTTCGTATTTGTCGCACCCTTTGTCTATCTTTCTTCGTCGAAAAGGACGAAGCTTGTCAGCTCGTTCGGCTTACACGGGCTTGGGAACCGAGATAAAATCCAGTGGCGGCTTAGCCACTCATAATGGCATCGGTGCAGAACTCTCGTCGATGGACCTCGACGACGTCATAATATTGTGGTATTTTCGAATGCGACGGTATTACTCGACTAGACTGATCCGTTACTTTAATAACTCAATATATTTTGTTATTCATTATTTAAACTGTCGAGGGAAGCTTCTCAAGTGTTATGCTCACTTATTAATGGAACTTTGGCACCAGACGTCTAATTATTCGAAAGATATTAACCCTTTGAACTCGAGTTGCTTTTAATATTATTGCATGTCAACTTGTAATGTTTTTTATAAAACAAAACAAATTTTACAAAGAAGTAATTAATTTTAGCTGTTGTTTCATATCATTTTCATTTTTTGTTCCCATAAAAATTATTTATTTAATATATGAAACCATTTTGTTTAAAAATTACACATTTAATTTTAGATCAATATCTTCGTATATATTTTGTAACTTTCCGGTGTTCAAGGGTTAATAATTGAACGCAACACTTGCGTAGCTCCTCTCGTGAGAAGGATCGACGACAAGATCAAGTCTAGAGACTCGCATCCAAGCGATTTCTGTCGAACAACCGGCACAACGCAAAAACGATTCTCTAACTCGGAAATAAGATCAGATAGGAGAAACATTTATACCAACTTTTTTCCTCGTTTATGTGCTCTGAATGGACCGCTGAAGTTATGCCCACATATTATGGTACATTCTGTATAATCAGTAGCGTAGATCGGTCTATGAACGGAGCGAGCGAAGGAGACGCGGAATAGGAAGAACAAGCGGACAATGAAGGAGACGAAGAAGAATAGCAAGGAGAAACGGATGAGTGCAGGGTATAGTAAGCACCGCGACTACTTTGTCCGTCTGTATACGTTGAATCATCCGGTCGGTTTCCTTTCACGAGCCGATGGCAGCCGTTCCCGCATCAAGGCCTGTGGTCTCCTCCGAGCAAGCATAATGACTCAATCCGCGATCCACCTTGCCCCCACCCTCTGCACCCAACCACCAGGAAAGAAGAGATCTACCTTTCTCTCTTCCTTCCCAGTTTCTTTCTCCTGCTCTCCTCTTCTTTCTCTTTCTTCCTCGTGCCGATATTATACGTTCCGTTCGCGTTCCCTGCGAAACCCGGACAATCCAACGTACCCCCGTCGAATCACCGCTTTCCCTCATCATTCTTTCTCTTTTTTTCTATACACTCTCTCCCTCCTTTCGTCCTCTTCAAACCACCTCGTTTCTTAAGTTCGTCGTTCGTTTCCGGAGATCTGATTCATTTCTCCTCGGTGATCATCAAGCTTGAAGAGTGTTAACTCGAGTTCGCGTGACACGCGGCTGTTTGCAACACCCGAGGAACCTTCTTATGATTATATCCTGTGATTCCAAGCTTGATGTAATAGGATTTCAAGATCCAGCTTGCGATGTCGCTGACAGATTTTCGAATAATTGTGTTTCGCCCAGTTTTTATTTCTTTACCGCACGCAACACTTTAACGTCACTTTCGGAACGGGCATGTAATTAATTTAATCGCGGCAAACGATAAAATCGTTGGCGCAAGAGGTTGTCTAGTCCAGCAGACTGAAGGCATGGGAAATTTTATCGGAATGCGGGATAATGATGTCCAGCCAGTCGAATTTTTCACGTTGCATCCATAGATTAGAAGATATAAAGTGCAGCGTCAAGTGGATGCCTCTGTACGTATCACGCGGAGCTTCGGCTGGACAATTTATTGCCAGGAAACGCAATGATCCAGCGACCCGTGGTGAGGAATCCGAATACCGATTACCATACGGCACCGTAGGCCGGTTATTCACGCGGGTACACAGGCCGCTGCCACCGTCGGGACGAGCGTAATATGAAATAACAACCACCACCCAGCTATCGAAGTTAACGCTCGACCACGGAGACGTCGCAAAGTTTTCTCGTAAGACAGGAAACTAATGCGCCATCGTGTTTAAAGATGGGACTAAATCGAAACGACCCCGGTAAACGAGCAGGCCTGCGGATAACGTTTTCCATGATTTAAGCAGGCTGACCTTAAAGTTGAAGAATTTACGTAAATCTTGTCTAATCGTTTCAACTGTGCATCGAAAACGTTTATCTTTTTCAGAGTTTGGCATTATTGATTGAATAATCTTCTGATACGTATTTTGTATAATTATAGTAGAACAGGGTAAGATTTCGAATTAAAATTAAAACTGGGGCTCTCTTCATGGTCGGTTGTTCGGAGCGGACTGTGAATAAAAATCTTGAAAAGAAGCAAATTATTTCAAATAGTGAATAATTTCTAATTTGAAGACATTTCTTTGTTTTTTTCTGTTATTTTCAATTAACTAATTGAATTTTTAATTATAATTTATTTCTTATTCTGAAATATTTTTGTTTTAATTGAAATTTGTTTCAGAAGTTTATTTAAAATAATGCCCAACTCTGATGATTTCCTATAACTATCTTTAATTTACATTTTGTCTTTCATAAAGATTTGTTTGTCTATTTTTTGCAATAAAAGTTGAGATGTTAACATTTAATTGAAGTAACATTTTCTTAATAACCAAGTTCATTAACCTTCCTCCGAATCGAACGATTTCCTCGAAGAAT